TCTGAAGGGTCCAACAGCCCACCTATGGGCCTGTTTTCCCCTCCACCTCTGTTTCCTCTCTGAAAAAGCTTTAATTTGCAGCACACAAACTTGTAGGGTATCCTCGCTTGCAGTTGAGAAATCACTTAAGATTACATCTTTAAATCTTCCGTGCTTAATGCAGAAGTCTGAGTTCTCTTTTAATTTGCTTTTTTGGGCGGTAACGTTTTTTCAGTCCCTGTTCCTGTATCCTAACCTGTAAGACATATAGAAAAACTTTAGTTCTGGGCAAAGTGTTCACGAAATTTATTTTTAGAAGTGCTGCAGATGGAAGTGCACCAAATACCCGCATTTGCTGTCGAAGCTCAAGTTTTGTTTGGTTCATCCTCTGTTGTAATAGAGATATCACCTCCCTCTGGAGGTAGTAATGGATAGATGGGACTGTCAAGGTGAAACAGATTTCTCTTCTGACACTGTAATAAGACTAATTGTCCCTCCAGAGCAGATCAGTGTTGGATTATATACCATGCTTAATTAGGCCTCATGTTTGACTGCTTTGGCAATATCTTGTTTGCCCTCTTGTTCTTTGGCACTTCATGTGTTCTGTTCTGCTTCAGTATATTTGGACTTTGAATGTGGAGTGGTGTGAAGCTCAATTCTGAGGGCTTATAAAATCTAGGCCACATTGCAAGGATTGCATGCAATTGCTCTGAACTGAAATGTACAGAGCATAATGTTGCATTCTTCAGAGCAAATATGTGTTCATGTATACTGGCCTTCTGGTGAAAGTGAACAATTTTATTGTAATTAAATAGTTATTTTAGAAGATATTTTTGCCACTTTTTCACAATAAATGTGGTGAAAACACATATAGGGAAATTTGTGGTTATAAAAGAAATAATGAGTGCAAGTTTCTTTTCAAAATAAAATGGAAATTGTCACTGTCACTTACATGACCAAAAATGTTACTGTAGAGAAAGGTAGGAGGTCACAAGTAGTGAGCCCTTGTGGTGTTCAGTGTAAACTTCCCATTTGAAGTCTGTTGTTTAATAAGTAATTATTCAATGGTAAGTGAACGCTGTACACACAGTAGACTGTTATATCAATATGCAGCTAACTTCTGCTAAAGCCCACTAAAATAGCAAACTGCAGAACCCTTCCTTCCGTGTGTGTGGGCCAACTGAGAGCATCAGCTCTTGCCTTTCAAAATTACAGTGTATCAGGAATTCCCTACAGACTATAGGAGGACAACAAAAAAAAATCTAATAGTATTAATGAAATCTTTAGAAATGTTATTACGTTTAAATATTGCTCTACTTTCTATTTTTGTAGCCAGAGATAGGATGTAGTACTTCTTGTCATTAGTGGTAGAAGCCAAGCAGCAAAGGAGCTTGTAACTGCTGCTGAAGCATTGTGAAAAGCATTTAGTTTTCTCCTTCACTGCAAACAAACCACAAATACAGCTTTATTTCTCCGCCTTCCCCCAATGATATATGTGCATCTAAGAATTTGTGCAGTGCAAATTTGTTGAATGTTTTGTCAAACATAGGACATTCTGTTTGCCCAGTTTCAAATTAGAAGAGGTGTTTTTATTCTTTAGCTTACTTCTATGAGGCATTTGGAATCTTAAAACCTTTGCTTCTGTTTTTTTCTGATTACCAGCATAATGTGAGGCTGGACTAATCATCCAGGTATGGTCTGTTTTTATCAGAATCAGACTGTTGAGACAGGCCATGGCTTACCACGTGTGCATGTGCTTAGGAGATAAGGGCAGCACAGAGTCAATGTTTTGCAACACAGTGTAGGAGGGAAAAAAATATCAGTGCATTTCTGAGCTGTATTTTACAGGACAAGGTCTCCAGTGCAGTCATTTCATGACTGCATATTCTTAGAGTATAAGTGATGATGTACACCTACGATTTGAAATATTTCCTGTGGGAGTTGGCGTCCCTCAATGTTTGTACTTGTTTTCATTCTGTTTTTATATCTGAATGTGGATCTGCTTATTAGTTACCAATCCGCATTTTGAAAGACACAGGTCCTTACCATTATAGATTAAAAAAAATAGTTATGTGTTATTAGTTCCCTATTATGGAATTATAACGTGATGTAATGGGGCCTGGTCTTACACTTGAACTATTGTTAAAACATGTAATGATTTAATGTGAGTAGAATGAAGCCTTTAGCTGTTTTTCAAGAGTCTGGTACCTGATTAAGCCTCCTGTGTTAAATATACTGCTGGTGGATGGCTGCCGCTTGCTCTGTTGGAATGGCAGTTGGAAAGCACCATGGACCACACAGTCATATTGCCAAATACATTGAGTTCTTGGCCATGCTGTTATTGCCATTTCAAACACTAAGCCAAGCAGGAAGTTAAAGTTTGGTGTTGAGTTGTGAAACAGAGGGATAATCTAGTCGTACTGTACAACTGACCCAGACTGTAATGAGCCAGCAAAATTGTTATGCTCTACTGCAATATTTTAGTTCTGTGTTATTTTTAGAAACAAATGCGATTTATTAGGCAAAATGGTGCATTAGAATAGTAGGATTAGACATTAAAGCACCTGTTCTGATGAGTGTTGAGTTTTATGAAATAGCTATTTAAAAAAGAAAAAGGAAAAAAAATAGGGGAAAAAAAATGGTGTAATGTACTTTAATCCAAGAGGGCCCTTGATGATAATTTACTGTGTGTTATAATGCCACATAGAGTTCTCACAGATATTTGTGCCTATGCATAAACTGCTTTGTTTTGTAGATGTAGCGAAGTCAGAGATCATTATATAGTTTTGCTAATGCAGAGCTGGTGAAAACCTTAGCAGAGGAGCTGGTGTATGCTGTCCTCACAAGTGGGCCTAGGAAGATAAGCCATGTCTCAGCAATTCCTGACATTAAATTGTTGTTGAGCCGTGGAGCTGGGCTACTTTCAGAGAAAACAGTGTGCCAGTAGTTAAGTGTGAAATATAGAAGCTTTCACTGAAACACAGTAGGCAGAGGAGCGCTCAACATAGGAGTTTGTGACATCAGTAATTTATATGTGTCTTACAAATAAGATCCTACAGTCTTAAGTCTACCTGAAAAGTATACGTGAATGAGCATGGTTCTTCAGAGGTACGAAACTTATCAACCTTCAAAATAGGATTCCTTGGTGGCTAAATTAAAATGTAATTTTACTGTAGAATGAAATAAAATGAAAACTGAAATACTGCTGATCGTGCACCCAAAAAGAATGGAAGTGAAATGTCCTTATACTACTACTTTGGTTATAGAGCAGCTCTGCTCTTCAGAGTGTGCAGGTTGTTTACTTCCTGGTGTGTTACATGAATAGTTTATTGTTTGCATTTTAAAATAAAAGTTCTAACAGCTAAAGAGCTGAAGTTGATTTGCAATTAAGTACTTAGACTAAACTTTCCTTTCATGTTTTTGATCTCACTAGGTTGGCAGCCTCGGTGGTTTGTTCTAGACAATGGGATATTATCGTACTATGATTCACAGGATGATGTTTGCAAAGGCAGCAAAGGAAGTATAAAGATGGCTGTGTGTGAAATAAAAGGTAAGAGTCAATAGATTTCTGCTTCAGGAAATTTTAGCTGCCAGGGAAATGGAAAAGATCACCCAACATACATTTTGCATCTCGAGCTTTTCACCTGTTTTTGTTTATCTATAGTCCAATGTAACTGCTTCATAGTTCACAAATAATAGTGAATGTGGATTGTGAAATGGTGACAAAGAAAAATGTTTTTGACAGTTGCCAGCTGACCACGTGCATAGATGATGGATATATTAGAGTTAGTAAGTGAACTGTTTGCTTCAGACTGTGAGTTTAGCCATTAGTGTGTTCTAAGCTGCAGATCAGCCTCCTTGGCTAATAGCAAGGCATTGTCTAACTCTCCATTGCTTTAAACTCTTGACCTTTTTCCAGATAGATACCCACAGATGGCAGGGCTTGTCATGCGGGTATTCGTATATTAAAAAGTGTGACTTTTTATTTTATATGGGCCACCAAGTATTTTTCATGTGGTAGCTCCTTTTTGTTACTGTTAACTTGAAATCAGTGATGTAAGGTGGAAGAACACATTTTTTGGCCATTCTGGTTATTCATTTTGCTTATCATGTTGTTCCTTTCGTGAAGGAAAGATAGTAGTTGAAGTCTGGATTTGGTGCAGTCTCCTGCATCCATGGATAGTGAGGAGCAGATCTGGAGGAACTGTGGTTGATAATGTGAAACTCAGCAGAGTATTCAGTTAAGGATGTGGTACTGGGTATAGTGGACTGTAAACAAAGTCCACCTCAGTTCTTGGTTCTAGGACTCTGCAATCTGAAGCCAGATTTCATCTGGAAGGGAGATTATTCCAGTTTTTAGCCTAGTTCTCCCTAAATAGTTGTCCTTGCAACAAAATTTTTCAGTTTGCCATGTTTAGACCACTTTTGGAATACAACAGTTACTACAGACTCATACGCAGTATATTGTTAGTGTGGAAGGCCAATGGCATCCTGGGGTGTATCAGGAGGGGGGTGGTTAGTAGGTCGAGAGAGGTTCTCCTCCCCCTCTACTCTGCCCTGGCGAGACCGCATCTGGAATATTGTGTCCAGTTCTGGGCCCCTCAGTTCAAGAAGGACAGGAACTGCTGGAGAGAGTCCAGCGTAGGGCTACAAAGATGATGGAGGGAGTGGAGCATCTCCCTTATGAGGAGTGGCTGAGGGAGCTGGGTCTCTTTAGTTTGCAGAAGAGGAGAATGAGGGGAGACCTCATTCATGTTTATAAATATTTAAAGGGTGAGTGTCACGAGGATGGAGCCAGGCTCTTCTCGGTGACAATGATAGGACAAGGGGTAACGGACACAAGCTGGAACACAGGAGGTTCCACTTAAATTGGAGAAGAAACTTCTTCTCAGTGAGGGTGACAGAGCACTGGACCAGGCTGCCCAGAGAGGTTGTGGAGTCTCCTTCTCTGCAGACATTCAAAACCCGCCTGGACGCCTTCCTGTGTAACCTCATCTGGGTGTTCCTGCTCCGGCAGGGGGATTGGATTAGATGATCTTTTGAGGTCCCTTCCAATCCCTAACGTTCTGTGATTCTGTGATTCTGTGAAAGGGAACCCCATTGTACTTGAGTCTGGCCACTGTTCGGTGTCTTGTGTTCCTACCTGTTGGCTTGAAGGCATGCTGTTGAGAAGTGGTGAGCACCTTTGTTGTTTAGCAGTGGTACATCGTGAGGTACTGTATTAATTTGGGATTGTAATAAACTTTCTAAAATGCTTTGATCAGTATTTATTAAATAATTATCACTGAGGTTATTTTTTTCAAAATTGATTTTTTTCTCCTTTATCATAAGTTCATGCAACAGACAACACAAGAATGGAGCTAATCATCCCAGGGGAACAGCATTTCTATATGAAAGCAGTTAATGCAGCTGAAAGGCAAAGGTGGCTGGTAGCATTGGGGAGTGCAAAAGCCTGTTTAGCAGATACCAGAACAAAAAAAGAAAAAGGTATGTGTGTTACCTAGAGCTTATACAATCTTGCCAGTTTTTCAAATGCTTGTTTTCAGCTAATGGTATTGCAAATACTGTGGAAAGAAGTCAGTATTGTTGTCTTTAAATATAAGTTGTAATTATTTCTAGTCATCTATATGGTAAATTCCCCCTTGATGTTTGAATTAGAGGCCATCTCCATTGACTATTTCTGTCTTAAGAAACTGAAATACCAGCAACTCATTGTCGTTACAAGAACAAACATACTGTTCGTAGCTGTTGTGAAGCCATTTAATTTCTTTTGTTTTGATCCTTTATAGTTACTATTGCTTTTTCCATAATTTTTCTTGGATGGCATAATGTAAACATTTCCAGCTGCTCTGGTGGGCATAAATTTTATGCACTGATTTTTTTTTTCTACCTTGCAGCTAAGAAAGATTTTAACTTTATCTTTCCGAGTAATGTGCCTCTTTCCTAATGGTCATTAAGTTAGCATCAGTTATTGAAAAGTATAAACTGTTGTCTGCTTCAAGTACAGTTCCTAACTCATTGCAGAATCCAATTTTCCTCAAAATTAAGTTTAATTGAATTTTTAAATTTATATTTAAGTATAAATTTAAAGTACTTCAAAATTAAAATGTGTGCATAAATTGTATACAATAAATTCATATTTCCTTTATTTTTTACAGAAATAAGTGAGACCAATGAATCTCTTAAAACCAAAATGTCCGAACTTCGTCTCTACTGTGATCTTTTAATGCAGCAAGTTCATACAATACAAGAGTTTGTTCATCATGATGAGACTCGCCCTCCTCCCAGCATTGAGGTACAGAATTTCTAGAATGCCACTGAAGAACCTAATTATGTAGTACACTTCAAGCTTCTGTTGACATCTTGTGCCTCCCTAATGTTGGGAGGTTTGACCTAAGGTCAATTTTTTGAGTGCTTGTGTGTCTACAATACTAACAGTGATTGTATGTACATGATTTAACTGTAATTGGAATGTGCATTAGGAAGCAATTGTTACTGAGTCGTTTGGTTAAAAGGCCAGAAAAGCTGCCATAGGAGTTATGCAATAATTTGTCTTGTTTTGCATCTCTGTTGTGGGCAGAGTAGTTCTTCCTTGTGTAGGAGGGTATTCTATCTTTTGTTTCAGTGAAGGCTAGTACTGGAAGCCTGTGGTGTAGATAAGTCTCTGAATATGCACAAGCAAAATTATTCTGGCATTTCTGCTTTTGAATGAAAGTTAGTACTGGAAATTATGAATGGCTTCATTCTTTACACTCTTGAGCAGTGTCTGAACAATATTGTTGTACACTTAGGGCAAAGCAAGGGGTTGGGACTTAGTCACAACACAGCAAATTGTCAATTTACAGCAAGGTGATAAAGGAGCAATAAACCTGCGTGCATGTTCTGCTGCAGTTCATTTGTTTCACTGAATGATATTCTGATTCCAGTTAGTCACTCTGAGACAAGTTTTTCAGCAAAAACGTTATGGCATTGTTGGCTGGTACCTTAGAGAAATCCAGCTGTCAGAAAGAAATTACAATGCTGTTACGTTTGTTTGCTTAAATTAACCATGCTGGAAGGTGTACACTTGATTAAATGGTAGTTCTTAGTGGTAAGGAGGGAACTGAGCCTGTGTGAGAGTGGCGGTAGGGGAGAGTTGTATTTGTATCTTTTTTTTTTCTTGCTTATGCTTGTGCTTTCATATATTTTCAGAACATGAATGAAGCCTCTTCCTTGCTTAGTGCCACATGTAATACGTTTATCACGACACTTGAAGAATGTGTGAAGATCGCTAATGCCAAGTTTAAGCCAGAAATGTTCCAGCTGCCTCACCCTGATCCCTTAGTTTCTCCCGTGTCACCGTCACCTGTCCAAATGGTTTAGACATTTTGAAATACTATTTTTTCTAAGTGTCATATTGATGGTTGGATGGGGGAAGAATGGCAAAAGACTGTGCTGTTCCTATGTGCTGTGATGTCAGCAGTTGAAATCCTGACTCTGTTATGATTAGTACTGCTCCTAAATATAACTCAGTCATTTCAATTCCCAGTCTCTATTTGCTAGCCTTTACATAATTGGAATAACTTATCATAAGTGTCAAGACCCTGTAATGAGGTATCTCATAAATGAACGAGGTTTAACTTCTCCCCAGTTCAAGTGTTTGTTTTTTAGAATGCTAGCTGTACATAGATCTTAAAAATTTCATGACCTTGCCTCCTGTTTAAACAGATAAGTGCCTTGTGGCTTGAAGTACTTCAGCAAGATAGCATATCTATCAGTGTATATAACTGAAAATGGCTGTATTAATCTAACTTGCCCTTATTTAACAAAAAAGGTAAACAATGGTGAAGATACTACTTGTGTAACTCTTCACTAGTGATTTATTTCCCTTAAAATGATGATGTACGTGGAATCAAATGTCTTCGTGAGCATAGGTATAGATTCAAAGATGAGTTGTATGGCAGAGTTTTGTTGTGAGAATCCCTTTCTTTGCAATTGGATCTCTTCCCTCTTTATCTTCAGTCAATTGACTTACAAAGCTAATAATGATTGATTTAAATTAATAACTTTCTTTGATATGCATAGAGATTTTACAGTGATATCAGAAGAACCACAGGGAATCAAAAGACAGGATTTGGCTTTATTGTATAATGGGGAATTTAAAATGGCATTTGGTAAAGGAAAAATGTCTTGATATTTCTGTATATCGCAGCATTTAACAAATGGCTGTATGAGTAACTTTGGAGCAAGAAAGAATGAATTCCATAGAAATTAGGTAGTATTTTTTGTAGTAAACTATTTCCTGTGTGAATGCGTTAAAACTTTTGATATTGGTGGCAATCCATCTGTTTTCATATAGTTTAATCAGATTTTTAGCTAAAAATGATTGCTTTTAATTAAAAAAAAAGATTGCCCTCTCTTCTCTCTTAGTAGAGACTGTAAATAAAGTAAAAATTAATGTAAGTATGCATTTTATCTTATAAGTAGCTTGTGACATTTTTGGTGTGGTTTGTTGTGTGTTTTTTTTTCTTTGTTTGTTTTATTTTTTCCCCTAGATGAAGCGTTCCATTAGCCACCCTGGTCCTTGCTACTCAGAAAGGTAATTCTTCATTTCATTAAGCTTTTGTCTTAGGTCTTAGGTCTCAGGTCTCAGAAAACCTAGCAGAACCTGCTGGTATTAAAATCAAAATATGAGAAGAATTGTTCACTTGGGGGGAAAAATTAATCAGTGTAAATTGATCTGATTTTGAAAACTAAGGGTGCATATTATTGATGTTGGTGGCAAATAGTGCAGCTGCTGTTTCTAATAAATATAAGAATTTCTTCATGCTAGAAACTTCATGTAAATTACTGATTTTGACAGGTTCATAAAATTAGACATAAAGGTTGAAATGCTAGCATTCTTTTTGGGTCAGTATTTCAGATTCCTGAGTTATTTTTTTCTGCATGCAAATATTATGTTAGATTCTTATTTCCATTTTCAGTCTTTAAAATTGTGAAAATTAAGAGTGTTCTGTTGCCTGTGCCATTTTTAGTTTAGTATAGTGAAAAGCAGTGATACAAAGTGGTACAGGAAGGACATGGGACTGTTGGAGAGGGTCCAGAGAAGAGCCACAAAAATGATCAGAGGGCTGGAGCACCTCTTCTATAAGGACAGGCTAGGAGAGTTGTTCAGCCTGGAGAAGAAAAGGCTCCGGGGGGACTTACAGCAGCCTTCCAGTACCTGGAGGGAGCTTAGAAGAAAGCTGGGGAGGGACTGTTTAGGGTGTGTAGCCACAGGACAAAGGGCAATGGTTTTAGACTAAAGCAGGGTAGATTTAGATTAGACATTAGGAAGAAATTCTTTACTTTGAGGGTGGTGAAATACTGGAACAGGTTGCCCAGAGAGGTGGTGGAGGCCTAATCCCCAGAGATACACAAGGTCAGGCTTGATGGGGCTCTGAGCGACCTGATCTATTTAAAGATATCCCTGGTCACTGCAGGAGGGTTGGATTACAAGGCCTTTAAAGGTCCCTTCCAACCCAGTACATTCTATGATTCTATAATTCTATTCTAACAGTTTAATCTAAGCACCAAAATTATTTTCAGTTCAAAGTATATTAAGTATGTGTGGGTTACAGATTTTGCTTACTAATAGATCATATTTATTTTGTAGGAATAATCACCCTGTAAAAGAACCAGTTTCATCCCTTCACCGATTTTCACAGCGGCGCAGAAGAACATACTCAGATACAGAAACTTACAGTGATACTCCTTTTGAAGATTCTCAGAGTAAGTTTGGAACAGGGTGGTTTTCTTTTGTAGCTTTCTGTATAATTTATTGCAGTTTGCAGCAGCTGTTCTAGTGCTGATACTGGCACGAGGAAGAATGTTTTTTCCTAGTTATGCAAAGTTTTGTTTGTAAGATTCCTATATTGTAAATCAGAGTACTTATGTAGTTTGTTATGTGGCTGACTTTTGCTGGCTTTCATGGAAAGGCTTTGCTGGCTTTCACTGAAAAGGATCTTACAACTGGAGTAGTTGCACTGAAATCAGTGAGAGTACTGGCAAGATAGTATAGAATCATAACCAGAAAAGGGACATGTGTACTAATAGAGTCTTACATGAACGGTGTTCTGGTAAGTGGTGGTGTGGGATTACGGAATCACAGAATATTAGGAGTTGGAAGG